GCTCTCCATGGTACTGACACTCACATTTTCACAGTAATTCCTGCTTCTTCTTCTTTCTTTTTTTTCAGGCAGTGTGGCCAGTATCAAATTGCATAATCTGAACTAGCAGTGCTCATTAAATGTAGGCATTTTAGGTTTCATAAGTGCACTCTCTTTGAGCTTCACTTAGCAGCAAATGGTTTCATGGAATCAAATGTTTCCAAAGCAAGCTAAAGACACAGGCATGCTTTAATCTAGTGATGAATGGATTCTGGTGCAGGATGTCAAGGCTGCCTTACAACCCTACCATGTCTGTGAGGTTCTGGGCTGCTGCCTGGATGCGGCTCGCCTGCCAGCTGATCATTTCTTTTATTACAGGTCAGAAGACAAGTTGTCTTTTACGGTCTCCTCTCTGTGAGGGTGAACAGCTTTTCAGATCTGGCATTCATTTATGGAGGAAAAGCTCTTGTGCAGGCTCGACTCCACAGAGGCAAGATGTGGGGTGTTTGGAGGCTGTGCAATAGTTCCACTAACATAATAAGTGCTAGTTTGGCTATATGGAACGCTGTATAGGTGGGCCCCCTCCCCGCGGTCCCCATGGTTAAATTAAGGAGCCACTAGAGTGCGCCAAAGTACACAGTTATGGTTGTCACAGTTTGAAAATCTCAAGGATCAAGCAGTGGGTGGGTGTCGGTGGAGAGGTGTCAGTTACCATCACATCAAATTACTGACAGTTTTTATATATTTTATGGTGGGAGTGGGCTGAAGTCGGAGAAGATGGTCATCCTCTGAGACGTGACGGTGGTCGCTCCAAAACACTGAAGCCCAGATGACATCAGGTAACAGCGGTTCAGGGAGGTCAAAGGCTTCACGCTGGTTCTACAGCCCACACCGGAGAGCCCGTCAGCCTCAGTTTATCTTGGGACTAAATGAGAAATCAAGATGCACGCACACACACACACGCACACACATACAAACACACTCAACCCACAGCTCTGTTAGTGGAGACGGAAACATAGGAAGATATATACAGCTCTGTGAGTGGTATGAGGCCCTTGAGGATCACTTCCCGCCTGAGCTGCTCCTCTGAAACGTTTGTAGAGGTCACGTAAACAGTTTGTATTGGGCTGTCAGTTGTGTGTGTGTGTGTGTGTATATCTGTGTGTGCACAGTCCTTTGAGTGGAGTGGTTTTGTCTCCTCATAAACTCTTGTTTGTATTCCTGTCAGTTGATTGCATAATATAAGGAAGAAAATACAGTCTGAGCTGTGCTGCTGCAAAACTACTTACAACCTGGTATAAAAATCAAGCGCACATCATCGCTGGCATCATGTTCAACCACCAAAATTTAACAGGGACAAAAAGCTCTATTCCAACCCCTCTTTAAACGAGTCTGCCTCGGCGCTGCTGTCTCTCCCGTGCATGGAGGACATTATGCTAATTTCCCTGGGTGTCTGGGTCCCGCTGCTCCTCCAGAGTTCATTATGATAATTGCTAGACATGGCTGAGAACGCTGAGAATGTGAACCTGAAACCAGCAGGAGCTTTTTCCACGCAATCTATATTCAGGGAAATCCCGAGAATGTTCCCCAATCTGGATCATAAAAAAAACACATGGGGATGCTGTAGATCTCCGTCTCTGTTTCTTGTGTACGTGCACGCTTGGATTGGCTCTATTATGTCTTGGAATAATATAAAACAGCTTCCCCTGGTTCTCCCTGTCTCCATCTCTTGGGGTTTTCGCTTCACCTTTGAAATGCAGCCATGTCAGTTGTGCGCCGGCTGAGCGTGCAGTTAGGGACGGAGGTTCGACACCGCCTCAGGCCCGCGTCCAAAGACAATGTTGGTGCAGACGGAGCGGCAGACAAGAGATGACACGACCAACACGCTGCAGAGATCAGCGTGTTTCAGGGAGAGATCGAACCAGCAATGACTGCTAAGTGTGCACAGGCGATTAAGAGTAGACAGAGTGATGGCTTTTATTTTGAAATAGGTAGAGGAAACTGAATCCAATACCCAGAAAGTTAAGGCTCTTAAATTAAAGATCCTGTATAAGGAAATGCAATTACCTGGCTATGTTTTCCCACTCCAAGTTTCCTCATCACACGGCTGTAATTTTGTAACAGCAGTGGTTTCTAAAGTAAATGTGTGTATCTCAGAGTCAGATAAGCACAGGGAAGTCTTCTGGGGTCCCCATTGCACATGAACTGCATTATTATTGTTACTATTAAGGTGAAAGAAAAACTGATTTTGGTGGAGAAACAAGATGATTCTGACGGGTGGGTGGGTGGGGGGGGGAAGTAAGTTACAAAATTCCTATTTTATTCTTAAAATAAACAAAAATGTACAATCACAATGCCAATTTCACTCACTGTTGTCAGGTCTGTGTTTCCCTTAAAAAAACAAAACAAAACAAACAATCGAAAAACAAATTATGATCTTTATGAAACGTACCAGCAAAGTCTAACAGTCTCCATTAGATTGAGTTTCCTGACAAGTGTTCATGAGAAGGAGCATAACAATAGAAATAACGAGTAAACTTTACATAAGAGCAGGTACAATTCCTGGATATCATACATGTTGATCAATGAATAATACAAGTTTTTTTTTTAATGACAGTTTGTACGCAACATTAAAAAAAATAATAAAAAAAAAATGAACCTTTGTATTTTGAGGAACAGCAAAAAAACCCAAACAGAAGCAGATGAGGACAGGTTAGGGTGTCAGTGCTGCGTTTAGGTGTAAACAGTTTTTAAAAGATTTGTGAAGCAGATTAAATAAATTCCAACAGATGTGCATAGTATTTGGGAAAATGCTATAAAATCACAGCAATCTAAAAGGTTTTTGAATTTGTTTATTTATGTTACGCTCTAACAGCAAAAGTACTTTTCGTGCTGGGCTGAAGCTGCTGGAGAAATGTGTGTGTGTGTGTGTGTGTGTGTGTGTGTGTGTGAGTTGAGAAGATCCTCTGCAGAGTGTGCGTGCAAATCTTAAATGAAAAGCTTGAAGTCTGATCCTTGGACAGGGCCATGTTTTTCTCAGCTTTTAAAAATTGGGTTATTATATTACCTTCATGCACTCAGTATCATACTGTATGAAAGCAAGAAAAGAAATGCTTTTTTTTTTTTTTTTTTTAAACAAATGCCAACTGCCTTGTGAAATCAGATTAAACTCCAATATAAATGGCTTGTTTGGCCAAGTGTTATCCATTCTGTGTGTGTGTGTGAGACTCCAGTGGCGTTACATCTCCACTGAGGACCAAAACCACGAGCCCTGCTGGCAGCCCGCCGCAAGTGCTGCTAGAAATAAAACAAGAAATAAGTGCTTTATGAAATAAACATACACAAGTCTCCCATATTTTTTGGTTACCAGTTTGCTGCCAGCAGCTGAATCCAATCACCACTTTGTTGTTTTGTGTTTTTTGGTTGTTGTTTTGCACTTTTTCCCCTTAAACTTTAACACATTTTAAAATCTCGCACGGTAATTTTTAAACCCAGACCTCCCCTCATATCGAGCCCACAGAGAGATTTTAGATTTAGACCCTTATTGTTGACATTAGCCAATAAAGAGGGTAAAAATCAATTCGGTAAACCCAGAGTAAAAATTGGAAAATAAATAAAAGCCGAAAGGATCACCAGAGTCTCTTTTGTTTCTCTGCGATTTCCTTTTTAACCCAAAAGACAGAAAGCAAGAAAAAATACAAACCTGTGTGTGTGTGTGTGTGTGTGTGTGTGTGTGTCACACACTAAGACAGACTTTTTCAAAGCTATCTTTTACATAGGATATGAAAGCTATAATAGACTTGGCATGTCAGAGCTATAATCTTGACCGTGCTTTCAGCCAGGCTGGGTATGAAAAAAAAGAAATGCAGATATAGCAAATCTGTGGGATCAACCAAGGATTCTTCCAGTCCTGAGGAGTTCATGTATCACAAAATAAGTGATCCTTAAAGTCTGACCTGCCTCTTTTAAAGTGGGCCATTAGGCACAGTACCCACTGCAATCATCTTTGGGCTGGACGTCAATTCGTGTCTAAATGCACCATTTCTTATTTGGAAGAGAAAATGCATAAGTATCTGTGTGCATGTCAGACTAGACAGAGCAAAGAAATCAAGCAGAATTTCCCCAAACGGATAATTATTTTCCCCCATTGAAACTCTCTTTAATGGTATGTTGCCAAGAGGCACAATACGAGTTATTGCTCAATAAATACCAAAGGTTTAATTCCGAGCCAAATGTGTGTCAACGCCTCGCGAGGATGTGGGGCTCTGGATGTGTATAGCAGTTAAACTGAAAGTTACACCAGAAAAAAAAATGTTGCAATACTCTTTGGAAATTACATTTCATATTCAACACGATTTTAAATCTTTGGGTGCTACCAGAAAAACAAAAACAAAACGTACTTTCTTAAATTACCTATCAAAAAAAAAAAAAATCATTTTAACTTAGTCATATAGATGCATCAAAAATATTCAGATTACCTTTCTTTGACTCAAGTTTCAAATACAATACATAATTTATGGCTTTATAAGTTAAAACGAAGAAAACGCCTCAATCTACATCGTTTCACCCACAATATACAAGTTAAATTAATCGGTTTAAAGCAAAATTTACTGTCCACACCACTTAAAGTAACATATGCGTTACTCTTATTACTTGCTACTCAGTGCTTAACTTGCATCTTGATATTGTCGTAGTACAAAAAAAAAAAAAACACAAAAAAACATGCTCTGCAAAAAAAGCCTTAAAGAAATACAAACACTGTACAAAAGAGGCAGTCTTTAACAAATATCGTCGAAGCATCCCTTTAGCTTTGTGGAATAAGATAAAACTGAAATAATGTCTCATCCACTTGGGCCTAGTAAACCAAAACTGTCTTTTTCATTATTGCTTTGAAACTGACTCCCTTTGTAGCGCCACGGTCTAAACACATTCCAGGAGGACAAGTCCACACACGTTTGGTCTCTCTTGCTCTCTCCCTCTTTTTTAATCTCAACCTTAATTTCCAAAGGTAGAGACAGCTGATGTAAGCTCAAAAATCCCCTTTTTATTTAAAAAAAGAAAGAAAGAAAAGGTTTTGTGCTTTCAAACCATGACATCAGTTGACTTCTTATCTCTCTGCCTCCTTCAATATGGCCTCCAGACTGCTTCATCCATGCGGCCTCCGGGGTTGAGTACAGTTGGGGAGTTACTGTGGCTTCCGTCGCCGTCCACCCCTCCCTCTGTCTGGCTGGGCAGGTTAGGGTTCACCAGGGATGTGCCCGTGGAGGCGCTAGTGCAAGGCGGGATCATCCGGGACGGCGAGCGGTCCCCGCCGGGAACCATGGAAAACTGGTACGTGTTGGAGGACGTCCCGTAGTACAGATAGGGCGTGCTGCTGGTCTGGAAGGGTCCGCTCTGACTCTGGGTGGAGCCCGGGTACGGAGGGGGAAGGTAGGTGTGGTAGTGGGCGCTGCCCAGCGACATGGCTGAGGTGACGGGCGGGGTGTAGGTGAAGGTTGCCGGGTAGTGCATCCGAGGGCTGGAGAAACGGCTCTCTGTGAGGGAGGAGAGGCTCGGGAACTGGCGCTCGAACTGACCGGGGAATGGGCTCAGGTCAGAGGAACCTGAAAGGTGAAAACACAAAACGCACAAACACGTGAATTTCGTCGGTGTTTTATGACGTCGACAGGAAGGATTTATTACGGAACCTAAATAATCACACATCAGCTTGTCAGTTGTGATTGCGCTGAATGTGGTTTGGACTATTAAACCATTTAGCACTTTGTCTTGTAGAGTAATTGAATTTAACAAATACGTCTCTTGAGAAATTAAACAGCAGTAAACTGAATTGTCTATGAACCAATCTGAAGAAGCTAATAGATTTTGCGGGCACGGCTGCGGAGCAGCCTTCATCTATCAATATTAATAATGATATATCGATGAACTTCAGTCAGCTTTTTTTCCAGCTGCTGCTATTCGGTTTCCATGAAGTTACCAAACGCACATCAGCAAAGTCGCGTGCAAGCATGTTTACACCTTTGCATATTTATGTTCCTGTGAGTGTGTTGGTGCATGTTTATGTGCATCTGTGCAACTGTTTATGCATGCAAATATATCTGTGCGTGCGTGTGGGGGTGGTGGGGGGAGCTGTATGTGTGTGAATACTGTATGCACATAAAAAAAGAAGCAGTTGGGATGAATCAGGAGCTGCACATGTGGAAACACTTTGAGCAGAAACAGTTTCCATGAGATCCATAATGAGGCAGGGCTGAGCTCTGATGTGGCTCCTCTCCTCGCCTCCCATCGGCTCCAGCCTGTGTGTGTATGTATCCGTGTGAGTGTGTGTCCGTGCAAGCGCGCGCGGGAGGAGTGTGTGTGTGTGTGGGGAGGGGGGGATGAGAAGGAGCTGCTCCATCTCACCCTTCGTTCCTCTTTTCGCTTCATCCCTTTAAAAAATACCCAAAAAACCACTAACTGGCTGCGGCGAGCTTCGCGCTGGGCGAAGAGTTTAAGGAGAATAGGAGGTCCTCCCCTCCCCTCTCTCCCCGTCTCCCTCTCAGCGGTTTAGTCCAGCCATGGCGCTCTTATCATAAATCACCAGGCGTCTTCTGTGTCACCATGTCTGCTGCGAGAGGACAGGGGGTGGTGGGGAAGAGGAGGGGAGGTGGGCGCAGTGTTTATGTGCAGGGAGGGATTGCGAAGCCGGGTTTGTCGCTGCAGCGTCAGATAGCATATGCTGCTAATTAAGGCCTTTAAACTTCCTCTTTCCCCCCCGAGATCCGTTTGATTCTAATAGAAATAGTAGGCGATTGTCTCTCTGTTGCAGAGGGGCAGTGTGATCTCAGACGTGACCGGCGCTGTTCAATAAACCCCCTGCTTTTAACTTCAGGACCTATTTTTGTGCTCAAAGAGGCCCTGTGATGATGGGCCAGATCGAACTTTATCAGCCTAAATAAAACCAGAGTGTAAACGTCTGAATGTTTGGAAGGATGTTACAAAACTCGGGGGCGTTGCTTCCGAATGAGGTGTTTGACTTGACTGATGAACTTTTTTTGCAATCGCTTCTGAGCAAATGTAACATTTTGACACACGAGCCGGACCGCTTAAGGGAGGGCGGAACCCCGATACAGCATCCATATCAGCTTCTGCTCGTGCTCGTCGGTATGTTCTGCGGCTGGATACGGTTACACAGCCGCCTGGCGAGGTGTCAACATGATCTCTGGAGATCTGAGAGCCTTAGTCACATCGCTTAGGAGGCATTAAGCGCTTGAGGTGTGCGACTGGGTAAAAGTGGGGAGGCGAGTTTTTGCCCCCGTGTTGGTGCTCGCGCTTTGAGAACAAAGACCAACGCTCGCTAGATGAAAGCTGAAGTGAGCGACCAAACTAATCAAAGTTGACAAGGCAGCTGGCGGGATTTTAAACCCTTTCTAATGCAGAGTCACATGGCTGCATCGCTTAATCACTCACCCTCGCTCGGGGCACACACACACACACATGCACACAGAGGAGGGTGTAGTATGTTAGCACAAGGAAACAGAAACAAAAAGTAGTGTAGAAAAAAAACTGGTGGCAGTGAGTCAAACAGGTGTACAGGGCAGAAACTCGTCTGGCGGCGTGCAGGGATTTTAAAGGAGCTCTTACATTGGGGGAAAAACGGGGACAAATTGGAACACAGATGCTGCCGTTACTGCAAACAGACTGGCTAATGCAATTACCCAGAATGCCTTGAGAGAGTGGCACATCGCTGTAAAGACACTTTATTTGTCAGTCACGAGCCTGTTATTATCCCTGGGCCTGTTATTACCCATGCTCCTCTGGGATCAAAGGCTCTGAGCTTGGAAAAAAAAAAGAAAAAAAGAAAAAGGAAACAATAGTTGTTTTTTTTCCCTCGACTGTTTGAAAAACATCAAGCAAAGCGTTCTCTGGAGAGATGGTTGGACAATATGGCCTCATTCCTCACGTTCGCCTGAGAATGAGCTTGCTTTGCTGAATTATTCTCTCTTAAATAGTAGCTCATAGTTTTTTCTCCCCTCTTTGTATACGTTTCTGCTTTTCACAGTGTGAAAGTGCGTGTGTGCCTGTCTCTCCACCCCTACCCCCTCTTTCTCGCTGTAAGAAAAATGCTGCAAACTTGTTGTAAAATGTTGTAAACTAAATTACTTGTAGCAGATTAAATGACCCTGACAGTACCTGGCAATCGTCTAGGCACGTCACTGATGGCAGGCAGACCTGTGGCTCGGCTGGAGGAGAGGGGGGTGGTGGAGTGGACCGAGGGGGACGCCATGGGACTCAGGTAGGACGGATACGTCTGTTCGTACGACCAGGGAGGAGAGGACTGGGACTGACGAGGGTCTGAAGGGGAGAAACGGAGGGAGAGAGGACAGAAATGGAAGTGGGAAAGAGGGGGGAAGATTACAGAAAGACGTATAAAGAAAACACAAGACAGGAAAAGAAAGGAAGAACGAAAGAATTACCACTGGCCCACAAGCTTGTTCAAATATTCAGATTTTTTTTGGGAGGGGGGGCGGGAAGGTTGGCAACAATAACACAACGAGCTGTGGACTTGATCCGTCGCTATGCTTCTCCGCGCCTGTGTTTAGGGTTAAATATCACTCGGGCATGTTATGCAACATTTTTTAATAATAAGACTTCTAATGTTTACCTTTTAGAGAGAAGATCTTCCTGTTTGCCTTGTAAAACTGTGTGCTCGCAGCTGAGGCACAGAGAGCCTCGCTGGCACTCAGCCACGGTGTAAACACACCGGCAGACAACCACAACACTTTATCATTGTGTCTGTGCGGCAACAAGGACTCAGAATGGAAGCTGATTGAGACAGAAAGTATATGTGTGCGCGTGTTTATGTGTGCATGACAAAACTAAACTATTTGATTGTTTCACTGTTTTTGTCAGATCACAGAAGGTGAGGAGGCATGCCAAAAAACCCAAAGAAACCAAACAATCTTATCAATCAAGCAGCACCTGTTTGGCAGTTAGCTCGCGTGCTACTTTCAGTCCAGTGTACAATTGTCACCCCCGCACTGCTTTGCTGCGAAACCGTGCCCTCAACGATCCATCGAGTCGCAACACAAAACCGTGACAGAGATTAACTAAGAGCTAAATGACGACGTGTGACGTGCCTCCAGAGATTTGGGTGATCGGGTAGCAGCCATCCCAAACCGTGAGAGATTTTGTTACCTTCTAAGATTGATAGAGTGATGGAGCAGAGAAAGACAGATGATCTCAGAGGCACCGTGCTTGGTGTTTTGTGGCTCAGGATGTGTCTGAGGCTCCAATTGGGGTTTAATATTTCACCTTACATACAGTAAACGGTGCTCGGTTTGTGACTCAGCCCGCCTGTCCAGAAAAAGCATGGCACGTGTTGGACACGCGCCTATTCCATGCGTCAACTTGGTTATACTTTCTTGGAAGGGAAGCGATGTGAAAAACGTCAAATTTTAAAAATAAAAATGCCCGCTAACTCCTTTAAAACCTTCCTTTCCTTGTGTGCATCCACAGTTCAAAGCATGTGTGTCTGTGTGAGGATTTCTTCACACGTGAAAATATGAAGACTTAATACAATTTGGAATTTTGGCAACTCAATTTTGCAGGATGACAGCAGAGTATGATCATATCATGTTCAGCACAAGGAGGCTTTTGGTATCCTAGATGACACATACACACACAAAGCTTGGGCAACAGCAAAATATTTGTATTTGAAACTTATAACAAGGAACTATAAAATCGCAGAAGTTTAAGATCAGATACGGAACAGCATGCTAAGAGATTCTGTGCATGCACACTTCCTGGACGCTTCCAACGCCTGGATTCTCCATCAACACCAGGAGGTTTGTATTAGCTGTCCTTGGCGGCTCACCTGTTATCTGCGTCTGTCCCTGTGGGTTGAAGGAGTTGGCCGCCGTGTTGAGAGCTGGCCGGGGAGCTTGTGTCGGAACCGCGACCCTCACCCTCATCCTCTCTAGCTCGCTGAGGCGGTCGGAGAACAGACCAGTTTTGGGAGGATCCTCGAGCTTCTGACGATGCCCTGCAGACACAGAAAAACAAAACAAAGCACTGTTATATTGACGGGACGCAGGCAGTAGCGAAACACCCATTTAAACACTGACTGTAAGTGCTCCGATGTTGCCAGCAAAGAATATTTTTATCACTGTGAAAGAAAAGTTCTGGGCAACGTTCAACTCTTAGGTTGTTTGCTGCTCCTGAACCTTAGAGGCTCACTTAAGTAACAAAGTCATAGGCAAATTCCTTGGATCTTTTTGAATGGGAATAAAAAGAGATGTTCTGATGTATGTTAATTTTTAACCTGAGGCTTCTTCCACTAGTAAACACAAGCTCTCACGCCATTGCCCCATTATCCCCACATGAGTCATAACCTATGCCAAATATATTATGCATTTTCTCTTCCTGCATTCCTTTACCAATAATTTTACACCCTTTATATCCCCGATTCTATTCCACTCTCTCAGCCTGGTAACTCTACACTCCTCCAACATACAAACACATATGCACGCTGCTAACACATACAATTTAGGTTGTACACAAATGCAAGATGATGTCTGAGCCTGTCTTAGCAGTCCGTTTGGCCTTGTAGTGGGAACCAGTGCAAAACCTGCCCAGGGCCCACAGGTGTAGATTATAGTTTAGTAAAGGTGGGGTAGAAAGAGAGGCCTGGACGCACACACACACACACACACACACACACACACACACACACACACACACACACACACACACACACACACACACAGAGAGTTCTCTTTAACACCGACACAGTCCTGTGTCAGTGTGTCTGTCTGGTCTTGCACTAGTTCTCCTGTAAAGGCGGTAAAGTAAATATCAAACAGAGTAGAAACTCCTGCTGTGCTTGGCAGGGCTCCAGCTGGCTCAGGCAGAAACAGCGCGCTACTTCAGAATCCTGCCTAACCTGACTGCTGCCTGAGCTGGGAACAAAGGCCTGCCAATACTCTTATAACACCGGGTGGGTGCACAGGAGAGGGCGAACAAAAAAGAGCTTTAAAAAGAATCATCACTAAGGCATCATTAGAGAGATCAAAGAAAAATAAGAGCTGCCCCGCAGCCTAACTATGTGTACCGATGACATCCCAGCTGAGGGGCTCCGCTGCATGTCGTATCCATCTTTCCTGTTTGTGCTGATTATCTAAGTTTGTCGTTTTGTATTTATTCAACTAAGACAGAAATTCTTTTAGAAACCGCCCATAACAGTCGAACATTTTTCCACTACTGCAACAAAGCATTATTTCAGCCTCAGTTATGCTGCTACAAACCATGTGACTCTCTCACAACAAATTAATTTACTCTGGAACAACTGCTTGGAACTTTAATACCAAACAGTGGTGCAATGAAATTGAGACTTGAGAATGGCGGCAGAGAAAAAAAAAGAAGGCAGCCAGTGACAGTCAGACAGACCATGATTTTTATTACAATGACGTTACCGGACTGGCATCATCCAGCTCAAAATAAATAGACAATCTCATCATCGGTCTCCTCTAGCTGCTCTGGAAAGGAGAATAATAGCGGCTACTAAAAGACCTCAGCTTATTGAAGACTTTATAACATAATTCAAGCCCATATTTCATTAATAATATTTCCCCATCGTTCCTGCAGATAATTTGTGCCTCTCGCTGGCATTCCTCGTCTCTCTGTGCAAGCTGCGCCCAGTCAATCATAGCGTTTCCATTTTCAACAGACCCAGTTTCTATTCTAAAAAAGCCTCGGGACACAGAGCAGGCTTTGTGCACAGCCTGTTTCCTAGTGATGGGAATAAATAGCAATGGGAGACCATAGGGGGATGATGGGAGACAGAGGGGGACAGGCGCGAGCAGGGAGGCAACGCCGGCGAGGGAGAGACCCTGATGACCAGTAAATTAAGAGCTCTGGGCTGGTTAGGCGACGCAGGTTCTGTGAGGAGTGCTGAATGGTGAAACAGTTAGGGAGACTTTAGGATTTCAACATATTTGTTGACGATCCTAAAATATAGACAGATGTTTAAGAAGATAAAAATTATACTGACACGACATACAACAAGCTAACTTCACTTCTGTTACAGTTTCATTCAGCTTCCATCCTCAGCCACTGTAAATGTCAACAAATCTATGGATGACACTCCGTTTTAAAGGAAGCCTTTGTATTTTTTCCTCCTATAGGAATGCTGCATGTCAACCACCACATTAAGGTCCAATTTACACTCCAACCAGCCAGACCTCAAGTCCATTAGTTTAGCAGGCCTTGACAGTAAATACAGTTTTTCATGAGTTAATTACACCTTTTAGAGGACAACTGTTGCCAAACACAAGATGTCTCAGCTGTTTTATCGGAACCCTAGCAGGGCGGAGGAATGAGCCGGGGGTATTTAAAGGAGCGGGAAAGGCGGATGATTTCACTGCCGTAGGGAAAGTCCCTGAGATTCCCATCATCCCTGTGAAAACAGCGGAGATTTTCGATAGCGCCTGCCACTTCCCTGCCCAGCCAGCGCCCGGAAACATGGACAGATTCAGACCAGATGTGAACAACTCGCACACACACGGAAACACCAGAAACGCAGAAAAAACAAAAGGATGTATGGATACACACTCCTACTGCATGCGCAATCATGCGTGTTTGCACTCAGCCACTACACACTTAGTCACACACACAAACTAAGATTTAGAATGATTAGATAACACCTCTATAGATAGTATCTCAACTCGCACGGTTGCACGCTGATCCTAGGATAGTATTATTTCAGCCGTTCCAGAGAAATAAGTCTGGATCCAGCTCACCCCTGCTGATCTGATAACAGTTAGTAAGAGCAAGTAGGCAAACACAATATAAGTCTTCCATAATTAATGGCAGCATTAGATTGAATCTGAGCCTGAGCACAGAGATCTTTGACTAATGGTTGGCTGTTATTTCCTGGCTGGGAATATCCCTCAAATACCGTATACATTTCTTTTAGCCGGATAGCGGTTTGTGTAGGGATTTTGCATCGTGTGGTGTATCAATGTCCTTTTAAAAAAGCTTCAGGAGCTTCAATAGTTAAAATATTAGAAAAGTTTGAAGAATTTTGTGCCTTTTTTATGAATTTTTATAGCAAATGTATGTACACATGAAATTACAGGCAGACAGCAAAGCTTATCAAACACAGGACACTGGTGAAACAGCTATGCTAGGCTAAGCTAAGCTAAGCTAGGCTGCGTGCAGTGTTAACGAATTTTGTACAGATTAAAAAAACAAGATATAATATAATAATTAGTGCATGCAGGAGGTGGTGACAGTCACAGGTCTTTATGCTTATCTTAGATAATGTCTCCAAGCTAGAGACAGATTTTATTGATGTGCCAGTTCAGTCTCTGCTAATTAGCGCACCCCAGCTCTTCTCATATCTGGCTGGCGTTATGGCCGGGTTGCTATTATGACAGCCCTCGATATGATTCAGCTACTCTTCATCGCATCCTCAGATGTGGGTGGCTCCGTCTGACAGGATGACAGGAGGCCCAATCTAAACAGAACCAGCAGATCTGCTCTGCTGCAATGGTAAACTCACCGACGCAGCAAAGCAGAACAAACACTACCTACAGTAGCTGCAGTCTAAACAGGGGACCTGGTGTTTTTCCCCCCATAAATTAAAACATTTTACAGCAAAGAATCTTAACTAAATCTAATTCCATGGTGTAATCTGTAAAAAAAAAATAAGTGTGGGAGATGTTATTGTTTTCCCCCCATAAAAACAATCCAGTAACCATTGTGGTCCTATATACTTTAAAGCCTGTTAGAGCAGGCTGGTTATTGAGTTATTGCTTTCACTGTAATGTTTGCAGAATAATTATAAACCTTAGCCAAACAAGTTCAGAGCTTAGACATATTACCACAGCATTAACAAGAATACTGTAACAGATTACTGTTATGAACTTTTGGATTTGAGAGTTAATAAAAATGTGAAAATGACTTGACTAGAGCTTCAGGTTCTAACCTGTGAATGATGGTTAGGACCCCTGCTGAATAGTTAGTAGGCCACAACCGCTACACCAAAGCCATCAAATTGTGCGCTTAACATAACTGTCGCAGACAGCAGCTCCAGTACAATTCAACAAGTCAAAAGAAGAAGCTGCAGGACACACCTTTGTAGGGAATTCAGATGTCAGCAATGAGGCAAATATTTGACACGCAGTAGGAGTATTTCAAGGATGTTTCTGCGAGTCACCGGACTCTCTGAATCAAGTTCACTTCTCTTTTATTTAGCTAATTGTAGTTTTACACTCTGAAACAGTGGTGGTTTCTGGCTTTATGAAAAGTAGAAACTGAACTGACCTGGGTCATCCTTCAACAATCATATCTGGATAAAATTCTTTCCCTAGCAGCGGCAGGGTCATATAGACCAGAGGGGGGAGGATCCTCCCATCCTCCCAGCTTAAATCTGTTGGAAACACTGAGAATAGTTGGAAAATAAGAGTCTACAAGTGAGTCAGGTGTGAGTCTGCAATGAGCTGATATTATTGCGTAATGCACAGCTGTCTGAAAAACTTGCTAGCACCGTTTGAAGTAATTGATAAGCAAAGAGGCATGCAATTTCAATGGACTGGACATTTTGAACTGATCCCAGATTACCATCATTACTCCTGGCTTTAGCCTACGCCCGAGGCTGGAATCGACTGTCATTGCCTATCAAGAAGTGTATTTTTAGAACGCTGATCTGTTCATTTAAAGCTCCTCCTCCTCCTCAAACTTATCAAGTTTCAAGTGTCACCACAGAAACATCAGTGGGAAATTCTCCTACCTCAAGCCTGACTAAGTAAAATCTGAGGAAAATGCAGAGCAACAGAAAATCCTGAATAAATGGAATAATTTATATATTTGGTGTCACATCGTGCCCTCTAAGCCCTTCAGTCTGGTTTATGATCACCAGGAGAGCCTGGATGAATGTATCACTGGGGCTGATTCAGACCCCCCACCTCTCCCCCAATACTCATGGAGCCTGGGTTGAATCAGCCCGTCTGTGTTTGTGTGTGTCAGTCATCTCACGGTGGA